AAACAATGTCCCACATTACAACATAACATGCTGGCAAATAAATATCAGCAACAATTTACATATTATCTACAATATAGAGATGGTATAATTTTGACTGTTTAAAAAGAAAGTGGATTCACAGGCCTCACACTGATTTCAGCAATAAAATCAACAAGTCCATCACACCTACCATCGTATCCTCCCATCACCAGCCATGGGAAGACAGGACCACCAAATGTTCCCAAGCAGGGTTCGTGAAGGAGGGTTGTGTCATTCAGAGTTGCTGGAGCCCTGTCAAATTTACATATAATGTTACCAGAACTTGAAAACAGGTATTTCTTAGGACAATATTGCAGTAAATTGTATTTATTCCTAAAGACTTGGCTGTTTCAGAAGGCCTTTAGAGAACAATTATGTTATGATGCCAAATTGGATAGTGTTGCTCATGTACACTATTTAGAGTCTTTCCAGACTGAAGCAATATACACATTTTAGAAATAAAATAAAATAAAATAAAATAAAATGCTCAATCACAAAAAGTCATTTATTTCAGTTTTAACTTAGAAACTATTGAACAATATTTTTTTATGTGCAAACTTTCAAAATATGCCTTATTGTGAAATAGTCTTTTTATTGGAACTATAGCTCATTTCACAAATTCATATTTAGGTAACTTGTATTATCTGAGAAATACAATAATACACTAATAAGTATTCTGGTTTGGTTAGTCACATATACTTTGATACATTACAGTCTGATCCAGCTTAAAATAATACTAAGCGAAGTCCCAAGAAAGGAAATTATAGTTAATTTCAAAGTAAGCCTTAAACAACTCTCTGAATTGGGCAAATTCATCCTTACTAATTCTGTTGCAAGACTGAGTTCATTAATCATGCTAACTTATAACTATTTGTTTAGTTCTGGGTAGTTTGTTTGTTTATAGATTTATAAGGCCACCCAACTCAGGCAGTGTGACTCTGGGCAGCGTACAACATAAACACACAATAAATCAAAAGAAGAAAAAAGCAAAGAAAACTTTCTAACAAACAAACAAACAAAAGTATTACTGGTTTAAATAATGTGTCATTGATGAGCCCCTCAAGGCAGTTAACAAGTTACCAAAACAAGGAAAAGAAAATCAGCTTGTCAATCTGACATAATTTTAAAGCTACAAAAGTATTTCATCAAGAGACAGGGATGATGTTTTTGACTGGGCTTACCTGACACAGTATAAGAAATGAGAGTGGAAGTCAGCAAAGGTATAAAATTCATCACCAATGCTATAATCTAGGACAGAATGACTGTTTTGGAAGTAATTAAGAACACTTAGAATAGTGCAGTTGTTATTGTAGGGAGCAAGAGGTGCCAGGCAAATGTCCTTCAACATTACAGTTTCATTTTTATAAGATGCAGTTAAGTTTTCAATACCATTTTGCAAATCTAGTATCTGAAAATATGAGAGAGTAAGAAATTTATTAATTAGCATACCAATGGGACAGAATCTTTTCTCCTTTAAGATATGATAGATGCTATCAGTTAACTAAAAGCAACATTTTGATTAAAAGCAAGATATCAAGCACAATAACCCAAAATGACTTTTCAGCATTCAAATTCTGAAAACAGTACATTTCTGAAAGAATCAGAATCAGTTTAACTGATAAAAATACAATACATCATACATTTAATCTTTGTTATTAAGTGAATATAAAATTTACTGAGCTTTCTAGCAAAGAAAAAAGTACGCTTCATATACTTTAATTAGAAGCATTTTTCTTGGGACTCTATTTTTTTCCCACTGAACCAATTCCTTGATTTTAAGGCTATTTAAATCTATGATCCATCTTAGTTTTTGTGCTTTTACCTAATTTTCCTTGCCCCAAAGTCTATCAGCCTCACCTTATCATAGTACAGACAGAAAAAAAAAATCAGCTTTTGCTCTACTCATTCCATAGGAAAATGCTTGGATCGAGCACAAAGATTCACTAGAAATTCTGCTGATCAATGGGAAGAAGCTGCATTTAAAGAGTTTAATTTGTATCCACATTAACTGAATATCAAGAGATCAGTTCCTACATTACCTGATGCAAGATATGTTTTCTAAGTGGAGGTCCAAAAGGAATATTTGCTCCTGAAGGATATGGAGAATAGATCTCTGGAGTAGTATTCACAGCCTGAATAATAAGTTGTTCAGTACGGAAGAATGGTCCAAAATTAGCATCAAAGTATTCCTTCTCTCTGCGAGCTTGGCTATTTGGGGATGACCACAGATCTACAGGATTTGTAGTTAATTTGAGAAATGCCAAGCCTGAGGAACACATGGCAATAATAACCAAGGAGAACAGAATAACAGGCCGTGGGTTTCGAACACAAAAAGCTCCCCATGATGTAAATGTAACTCTTAAAGCATTCTCAAACTTTTCACCAAATCTTTCATACCATGTAGCTTTTCCTGCAATGACACAATCACAATGAATAAGTAAGCTTTCCCTGTCCAACATATTTTTATGCAAATTTAAATGTTTCCCATATTTTTTGTTAAAAGATGTGAGTGAAAAAAAAAGGAATCATGCTATGTTAAAAAGTTTTCATGTGAAAAAGGATGTGATACTGCTGCCATGTGACAACAGGTTCAATGTTGCAAGATCGGAGACCATATAAATAATTAGGAAGTATAGGCTTTTACACTGGCAGAATGAGGTAATGGAATGGAAGGAAGGAAACAATTTAAGAATGAATATGTACACACTAATCATTTGTCACTGACAGCAAAAAAAATTATAACGAAATCCAAAACAGTTCAGAGCATTATGTCCCATAATAAAACATGCAATATTAACAAAATATTAATTTCTTTATATTCTAGAACTTACCAGTATTTTGATGTGAGTTAACAGAATAGGCAATGTTGCTGTCAATGGGTGCGTACTCAGAAACAAAATGTCTCTTTCTGTAAATAATGTGAAGACAGACAATGTAGCATAAGTGAGCATTTTTATATTAATTCATGTAGTACAGTGATTCAAGACAAACTACTGGTTATTTGACCAAGTATGGTTGTATAAAAAAGTATAGGCATCTCTTATCAAACTTAAGTTACAATGAATACCTGAAAAGAAATGGGATATTTCAGCAAGACAACACCTGAAACATACCTCCAGATTAACCATGAAGTACTTATAGGAAAGAAAGATTTTGGAATGGACTTCACAGTCTCCAGACATGAGCGTTATTGAAACTCTGGGCATGCAAGGAGACCTAAGAATATTTTTCAGCAAAAAAGTTCTGAAATGAACAGTGGGGAAGAGACAATCCAACTGGAAAATACCTGAAAGGGTCTTCCTCTGCCTTTATTTCTTGTTTTTCTGAGGCTCCTCCTTTAGAACACTTGGTACTAAAGACTATGTGGTGGAGGTGGAGAGGACAATTCTACTGCAGCAGGCTGAGGTACCTCATATTACTCTAACTTTTAAAAAGATTTAAGTGCAACAGTAAAACTATCTGCTTGTGGTAGCTGCTTTAAAGCTACCATTCCAGCTATTTTAATTTAGAACATAAAATCTATTTTAATTTTTAATATATAATTAAGGATCCTTAACTTTTTAAATAAATCTATTGGCCTGTCCTACTGTTGAATACAGCTGTGCAGAAGTTTTGCGCTGGCCAAACTGGTCAAAGGTTTGCATGCAACATTATGTTTTCAGGGCTGTTACAGTGCTTTGGATTCAAAGCAAAAAGATGTTCCAAAGACACAGGGCTTGAACACAGTACCTCTCTGCAACTCCTCAGACTAAATGCATCTTTTCCTGGGATTGCATGGCAGCTGCAGAGGGCAGCTATGCAATCCTGGGAAAAACTGTGGCTGCTTTAAGGATTTGTAGACAAATGGTACATTTGTACCACTGCATGTTCCAAAACACTTTTTGGCCTCAAATCCAAAAATCCAGCCCTAATACTTTTCAGTACAATGGTTTCATTCTATCATGGTGATGAAACTGTTCAACACAGACAGCTTTTACAAAACATCAGTTTGTAACTAAAATGAAGAATGTTATATACTGTACTTAATAAAGCTATTCAACCTGGCCATCCTCCCTTTTCAGCAAGCAATTAGAAAGGAAAAAAATCCCACTGATTATTAACAATGATTGTAATTTTTTTTTTTTATTCAGCCCCATTTTCAGACGGCTCTGTAGTTCAGAGTCACTAGTAATACAGCTGAAAGTACACTGTGCATTTATCCACACTGAGCAAGGTCAAAGTTTTGTGTAACAACACCAACAAAAAAGAAATCTCAATGTAACACAATTGCTTATAGTATAAGGATTCTTTCTCTCATTCCATATCATTTTGCCAAATCTGATTACGTTAATAGATCAAGTGGTCAACTGTATAAAATGAATAATCACTACAACACCATCCATATTTACTTTTACATTGTAAAAAAAAAAATTCTTAAAGAATACAAAACATCAGTGACTACTTAACTGAGCAACCACTGGGTTACTGAAAAATAGGAGTGTGTCTAAAATAATGAGTATGCATGATTGATTTAACATTATATAAACAGTTTTGGAATATTTTCAATCTAAAGTGCTTAAAATAGCTATTTACCTGTAACACCAGAAGCCACAAACCACTGCAAAGAAAACAAGAAGAAATGCTGTGTAGGAGATCCACATAATAACATACATGGCATCCAAGCCAAGCAAAAGCCAAGGTGCAGGAGGTGGGGGAGGTTGTGGTTTTGGGCCACAGACAATGGAACAATCTTGACAACTACAGGGTCCTGTGATGTCATCCACAGACTCATTGCAGGCTTTGGTAGCATTGTTCATAGGAATCATCCCATGGATAGGTACATCTAGCAAGGGAGAAGTTAACATTTATGGAAAAAAAAGAATGTAATGTTAGCTGTGTAGATATCATCTATTGTTCTTTAACTAACTTATAAGAATATTTTTATAGTTTGGCAACTTCAGTTTAGTGTTAACAGCATCATTAGAAAAATAATAGTTCAATATACCATGTATAAGCCACAAGATTCATATGCTAAAAAAAAAGCTATAATTTCATTTTTTAAAAAGCAGTCACTGTTACCATTTTATTAATTAGAAATAACTTGCAACCATTTAAACTTCCATAAAATCAGAACATTCTAGAAATTTAATAAGTGACCAGTTATTTTATCCACTTGGCAAGGTGCAAAACCAAACACAGTATGCAACCTCATCCTTTTAACATATTATCCTTAAAACAAAATTGAAAAAATGAGGGCTAACTGAATTTATGATTCTTTCCTATTTGCCGTACCAGCAAAATATTTCACAAAGTACAATCCCATTTATAAAACTGGAACAGAGGTGAATTATTTTGGTGGGAATCTTCCTTAGTTTTTTTTGTAAACACCAATATGGCAAATTATTGTTCCATTAACAACCCACATCATTTCTAAAAACACATCAAATGAAATAAGCTACAAACATAACACACTGGACTTCTCCCATAAATAGAAATCCTGCCCAAGTCTATCTAAATATTGAGAATCCATTATTATCTGTGTATGTGAAATCCATTATCTTCTATTTCACCTATTATTAATAGATTAAAAGAAGTAATGCCAATATTTCAGCTGAAAATTTTTAAAACCAAGCCTTTAAAACATGTAGAGAAAATTATTTTGGTCAAGATCAAAAAAACGAGAAAGAATCAAATATATAACACAAGTGAAAATAATTAATACATAGTGAAATAAAATTATATAAAAGAAGTCCTAAGGTCAAATACAAACCTAGTGCTTCCTGATAGCATTTGTAATAGTACAGAATTTAGCTACTTTTGTGAAGATATTAGCAGGTGAGTCTTCTAAGAAAAAGTATACTACCTGCTCCTCAAGCCAACCTAAACAACTCAATAAGGAAGAATGGATAAGCCTGAAGCACTTCCTATCATAAAAAGGATGGTGCAGTAACACATGAGCAATTGTTTCAATAGCTTCATCCGGGCATGGACATAAACCTTCCAAGAGTACTGTTACGTCTTCTCTCCAGCATCTAGAGGATAAGATGTCAAGCCTCACTAGATTAAAGGGAAACTGGCAGAATATTAAAAAAAATATGTAAAAGAGATCTCCATTGCAATGGCTCAAGACTTTAAGTCTGCCTCCAGATCCAAATCAAGGATTCTATGTTTGGCATCTATAAAGATTTTTTTCAGGGCCACATGTGATCTGAGAGTCAGCTGAAAAGCAACAACAGACTAAGTCCTTAAGTATACATTTTTTCCAAGAAGAGACAAATCTATCAACAATATTAGACTGAACCAGGGATCCATTGTAAAAAAAAATAAAACAACCCCCCCCCCTACTTTTATTCAATAGTTTAAACAGTGGATTCTCATCCAAGGCAAGACCAAGCTCCAAATTGAGAAATGCATTAGACACACAGTGAGGAACACAGAGCAAAGTTCTTAAACATTTTGATTAAATTGCTTTCAGAGCATACAAATATTTATAGAGACAGAGCTGTGCCCCATATAAATACAAAAAAATAAAATGAATAACACTACATCCAGCACATGCAATCATACAAGAAATATTTTTCAACTTCATAACACTGAAGCTATAAAACCAGTTACTTTGAAAAAATCAGCAGGTTTTAAAGAGGAAAATCTGTAAAATACATTATATATTATGAACATATATAATTAACAGAACACAATACTGAACATACTTTTTGCAATTAAAAAATTGAATAATTCTGTTCAATACAGCTACATACAATTTTAATAAATAAATAAATAAATGTCCAAACTTTTTCTTTTGCCTTTTTTCCTCTTTTCTATGTATTTGTTTAATTAAATAGATTAAAGATAAATAAATGTTCAAACTTAAATGTAATATAGTTGCATGTATACTAATATTCTATTAGTGATATCATCCAGCTCTTTATATCATTATAAAACTGCAGCACCCACTAGATTGCACAAAAATGAAATATTAAAATGTCTATATTTCCTACCTGAAAATATTGGAATTATGTTGAAAGGAGTGTGACCATTATCCTTGCTAAACATATATTCAATCCAGTTGGTTGCATTGCATTCTTTAACATCTTTCCCACACAACAGACCTAGTGCCTTAATGTTGCTTGATGGAGCCTCCACATCTTTGCAAGCATTATACATATCTAGAAGTACAATTTTATACAAAAATTACAAGTTGGTATACTAAATTATAAAAAGAACATTTATTATATTGAGTCAACAACAGCAATAGAGATTACTCAGCAACTCTGAGATTACAGTAAAATAGCTAAGATATTTCTGACACATTTCAAGCTGAACCAGTTCCATAAATCGTCTCATTCTTTTCCCAACCTCCCCCACCATGTTTCCCTTCACATCACTTGATGAACTCCAAATAATTTGTGGGAAGAAATTCTCTTTTCAATGCCTTTTTCACAACACTGAATGCTGCAAAACAGAGGTGTGTATATATTTATTTGTTCGCTAATTTGCTTTTTGATGACAGGGCCAGACCAAGATAGAATAAAGCACAATAGTACAATATTACCAGAAGAAAAAAAAATTCTCCAACACAATATATATATTTAGTAGTAAATTAGCATGATTTAATAGTCAGATTTCCACCAATGTTAGGAAACAGTGGGAAGCTTAACTTGAATAACTGATTTAAAATCAGCATCTTCCCAATTTAAATTAAACATTAAACCACAGGGTTGATGCCTAAACGAGAATAATAGTTCAATGGCCAAGAAGATTAAAGTGCAATCTTCTTTATCTGTACTATATGGATTATTTACACATAAATGTGCAGATAAATTTATAGAATTATAGAATTCTTTTATAATCTAGACAATGAAAATATTCAACTATGCTATATTATTTATATTATTTTCTTACCATTAGCAAATTTTTTTCCAATGTAATACTGCACCTCTATGATGCTGGTTTTGTTCTCTTTTGTAACTGGATCAGGATACAGCTTTGTTTGTGTAACATTCAGAAATTCAGACTGATGAGGACTACAGGTTATCTCACAGAACAGATTCATGAAATTATGAAAGCATGATGGACACCTGAAGAGAGGCAACACTGATGTAGTACATGTATATAAAATAAAACTCACACACATTCTCTCTCTAGTTATTGAGAGCAAAGAGATATTATGGCTCAAATGTTTAAATTTAGATTAATAATAAGCTTCTGGAATTTGTAATTTTAAAAATCACCAATAAATCTTCTAGCTATAATTTACTGAAAGACCACAAATATTTCATTTGTGAATAATAAATAGAGTTCAGCACAGTAATACAACCAAATACTAGACTTAAGCATATTTACTCATATTTATTATTTAATCACCATTTATTCATGCTGATTAATTTCATATAACAATGCAGAAGTAGGCAGCCTATAGTCTCAGAGGTTATTCTATAGTGTTTCTATCCCCAATAAAAACCAAAATACACACATACAATCTGAACTATAATACAAATATGAAAAAGTAATAAAGAATAAATTTATTACAGAAGCACTTCAAACAATTCAGTTTACTGGAAGTGGTTTAGTGCTAATTAAAAATAAGAATTCTGCCATCATCAACACTTTCTAGAAGAGTCTTTAAGTTAAGGCCAAAATGATATTGAAAGAGTTTTAAGAGACATTCCTTTGTGTTTCCTTGTGAACAGAATGCCTAGTTAATTTCCTACAATTTATTTAAAACACTCTATAAAAGGTACAACCTCCTTATATACACTATCCCCACATACCTGGAAAGAAACTGTAGAGGTAGCTCCAGGCCACTTTTCAAACTCTGAAGTTGCTGCAGGTCACAGCAAAGGCTAACATTCTCAAAGAAAAAACCTGGACAGATTTCCTTAACAGAAAATTGAATATTTAAAGAAATATTTCTAAAATGACAATAATCTGATTGTTCTACTGCTGATTTCAGACATCTGACTCAGAAAATATCCCATGATTTCAACAACATATTTCCAGCTTATAACATAGCAACAGTGCAAGTAGTTATTTTATAAATAGAAATGTTTAGGCAGTAATAAAAGGTACTGGTAAATCAGGGGTAGGACATCTCATGCTGTTTGACACAAAAATGCCTGCAGTTAAGCTCCTTGGTATTTGCTAAGGAAATCTGCCAACCTTTCTACCTCACCTGTTGGGATTTTTTCTTCTTCTTAACATTATTTTAATTTTAAGGAAGAAAGTGATATGCTGCCAGGCAAAGTGGTGGGAATAGCTATGTGGTAAACCTGTAAAGTGGATCACTTGGTGGGCTACAGTGAATGGTGAGAAGGAACCTCACTCATTTGTCTTCAGATAAATTTGCATTTTGTAACTAGCCCATTTGTTATATCTGACTCTGAGCACTCACAATATAATCTTAAATTCCAGATGTGCCTACAAGTAGTCCTCGGGTTACAATGGCAACTGGGACCACCTGGATTGTTGTTGCTAAGTGATGCGGTCGTAAAGTGCAACATCACATGACTGCATCACTTAGCAATGGCAATGCTGGCAGTCCCAGCTGCTGTTATAACCCCAGAACCACATGGGTTCTTAAGCAGGAAAAGGTGGGAGTCCCAGGCAAGGAGTGCAGGAGTGCCGCAAGGGGCTGGAGGGTGCTGAGGGCAGGTGCTACAGAGCGTGGGCAGGCCAGCAGAGGCTGCTTATGGGTCGGGAGAGGCCTGGAGAGGGCCAGAGAAGGCCATGCGTGAGTTGAGGAAGGCCTTGGGATGGTCAGGGGAGGCCTTGGGAGGTTGGGGGAGCTGCTATGGGTGGACACATGCCACGGAAGGCAGGTGGGGGGAGGGCTCCTCAGGAGAAAAAGCGAATTGTGACCTTCCTTGGCAGCTTCCGCATTGATTTTGCTTGTGGGAAGTTGGCAGGGAAGGTCACAAATGGCGATCACATGACCATGGCTTGCTGTGACATCATAATCACAAACCACTCACCCCAGTTCCTGGATCACAATCATGCAATTGCAGGGGTGCTGTGACAGGACTGGTCATTATGTCCATTTTTTCAGCACTGCCATAACTTTGAACAGTTGCTGAACGAACAGACGTAAGCTGAGGACTACCTATACTAGTCCTAGAAGATTTCTTACTCTCTAAGATTGACTGATATAGCCTTAAGACTAAATCCTGAAACTATACAATACCAAGCACAGAGGACTAAACTAAATACTCAGACCGTGGTCTACTATTAGGCAGTTTGCATGCTGTCTTACTTGTGCTGAGATTCCCATTAGATTTAAATATTTTAATTACACTACATATTAGTTAGGAAAACATAACCAAGTATTTTACCTCATTTCCACTAAAGATTTATTTTTAAGAACTCTTTAGTAAAAGCATAATTAATCAGAAACTTACCTGCACCAAATCATAGCCATCCTTTGGTAGTGGCAATGCTGAGCCATTATATGCACAATTGTACCTTTTGTTTCCAGAAGCAATTCCACATTGGCCATACCATACGCAAGAGCCTGAAAATACCTACATATCAAGAAAAAAACACTTAATTAAGAAACAAGATGCATACTAATTGGTCAAGAAGCATATTTAGTCATCTGAGCTACAAAAGGATTATTCCATACATAAAAATATGAAGCTAAATTGTCTAAACCAGGGGTCCCCAACCCCCGGGCCATGGACCGGTATCGGTCCATGGCCTGTTAGGAATGGGCCACACAGCAGGAGGTGAGTGGCAGGCAAGCGAGCGAAGCTTCATCGGTATTTACAGCCACTCCCCATCGCTCGCATTACCTCCTGAGCTCCGCCTCCTGTCAGATCAGCAGCGGCATTAGATTTGCATAGGAGCGCGAACCCTGTGAACTGCGCATGTGAGGAATCTAGGCTGCACACTCCTTATGAGAATCTAATGCCTGATGATCTGAGGTGGAGCTGAGGTGGTGATGCTAGTGCTCGGGAGTGGCTGCAAGGACAGATTATCATTAGCAGAGAGGGTTTGCTGCACCGAGACCATAATAAATCAATTGCTTGCAGACTCATATCAAAACCCTATCAGTGAGTGGCAAGTGACAATTAAGCTGCATCTGGTGGCAGGCTTTATAGTGGCAAGTGAGTTGATGTACTTCAGTTGTATACCTGCATCTGGTGGCAGGCTTTAAGTCAGAATCCGACACTTATTTTACTCCACATGTGGCCCACCCGTTATTTTATTTACCACTTCCATCTGCGCCTTTTTCCCACATTGCACACTTGTCTCAGTCAAGTTTTGGTAAGTCCACAAGCTAACCCTAGCCAAAATGAGTAAAAAACAAATGTCACTGGAGAGCTTCTTTGAAAAGGGGGAAAGACTCAAAGATGAGACAGCAGAAGACTCTAAGACTGCCAACAAAAAGAAAGCTGCATTTAAAAGAAAATACCAAGAGTCCTACCCGTCATTAAAAGACAAGCCTTTGGAGTTTTTCAAAAGAAAAAAACATGAACACGAAGAACAGAAGCAACTATTGAAGGTCACCACTTCATCAAATGTGTCTGCACTGAGATCACAGTTCTTAGTGGCTAACCACATTGCTAAAGCTAAGAAGCCCTTTACTATTGGTGAAGAGTTGATCCTGCCTCCTGCTAAGGACGTTTGTCATAAACTTTTGGGAGAGGCTGCAGTTCAAAAGGTGGCACTTGTTCCTCTTTCAGCTAGCAATGTAACTAGACAAATTGATGAAATAGCAGAGGATATTGAGGCACAATTGTTAGAGCGGATGAATGAGTCACCGTTGTACACAATCCAGGTTGATGAGTCTACCGATGTTGACAACAAGGCAACAACGCTTGTTTTTGTGTGATATATTTTTCAGGAGGATGTGCATGAGGATATGTTATGTGCACTTTTGTTGCCAACCAACACCACAGCTGCAGAACTATTTAAGTCTTTGAATGATTACATATCAGGAAAACTGAATTGGTCATTTTGTGTCGGTATATGCACGGATGGAGCGGCTGCCATGACTGGACAGCTTTCTGGTTTCACTACTTGGGTCAAAGATGTTGCTTATGAATGTGAGTCTACGCACTGTGTCATCCATAGAGAAATGCTGGCTAGCCAAAAAATGTCACCTGAACTTAACAACGTTTTGCAGGATGTGATTAAAATTATCAAGCACATTAAAGTACATGCCCTTAACTCACATCTGTTCACACAGCTCTGAGAGGAGATGGACGCAGAGCACACACGTCTTCTCTTATACACAGAAGTGAGATGGCTTTCTAAAGGTAGATCACTGGCCAGAGTTTCTGAGTTACAAGAGCTGCTCCAGAGATTTCTTTTAGAAAAACAGTCACCACCACCAGCACATTTCAGCGACACAGAATGGGTCACAAAACCTGCTTACTTTTGTGACATATTCAACCTGCTCAACGAATTCAATCTGTCACTTCAGGGGAGAATGACAACTGCGTTCAAGTCGGCAGATAAAGTGGCTGCATTCAAAGCCAAACTAGAATTATGGGGGCGACAAGTGAACATTGGGATTTTTGACATGTTTCAAACATTAGTGGAGATTTTGAAAGAAACTGAGCTAGGGCCTTCTTTCTCTCAGCTGGTGCATGATCACCTATCTCAGCTTTCAAAAGAGTTTGAGCATTACTTCCCAACTACAAAAGACCCCCGAACTGGGAAGGAATGGATCTGAGACCCATTTGTGAATAAGCCAGGTGAATTGACTTTGTCCGTGCTAGAAGAGGATCAACTGCTTGAGATTGCAAATGACGGTGGCCTTAAAAGTATGTTCGAGACAACTTCAAATCTCCATACATTCTGGATTAAAATCAAGGTGGAAAATCCTGAGATTGCCACAAAAGCATTGAAAAGCCTGCTTCCATTTCCAACATCCTATCTTTGTGAAGCAGGGTTTTCTGCAGTGACAGCAACCAAAATGAGATTACTGAGTAGACTGGACATAAGCAACACACTTCGGGTGTCACTGTCTCCCATCACCCCCAGATGGGACCTTCTAGTTGCAGGAAAACAAGCTCAGGGCTCCCACAGCGACTCCATTATG